CGGGAAAAGGAGGAAAGCGCCTGTTTCTCCTCCGCGCTGCCCGTATTGTGAAGAACGGCGTTATAGGGAGCGAGCCTCATCCCCTCAGCCTCCCATCCTGGGATTGAGGCCGGCGAGCCGTGGCAGGGGCCAGCTGGCAACGCACCCCCGGGCCTGTTCGGCTGGGGGAGGGGGAGGAGACGGCCTGGCTGGGGCAGGCGGCCCTGAGCAGCAGCGAGAGAGAGCACACACTAACCGTCATCTCCCCCTCAGAGCAGGATTTAAATGGCTTTGGCACATTCGCAGCCCACCCTGGGGACATAACAGGCAGGTGTCTTACAGCAGTTCTGCAAAGTTTGGGAGAGCTCTGCTCTCTCAGCCCTGGCCTCTCTGGTCCTGGTCTGAGCAGCACTCGGCCTCAAAGCTCCAAATGCTATAAATCCATCCCAGGATGGGATGAAATGGAGAGCAAAACACCATTATTCAGGAATTACTGCACTGCCTCTTGTGCAAGGAAAGGCAAAACAAGATCCTTTGAGAGTGGCAGCAAATCCTGGGGCTGAGGGCACAAGCTGTCAGAGCATTGCTCTCTCCTGCTTCTCCCAAAGATACAGAAAGTTGGGGTTCCTTCCCCCGCTGCAAACCTGCTAACACCGGAGTCTTACTGAAGACAGACAAACACACCACTACCAACAGCCCTGGCAGCAGGGCTAAGTGCTCGGAGTGCCCCATTGCCTCTACTCGCCCCCCAGCCTGTGGGACAGATGGCACAGGGCCACCGAGGCTGCTGCGGTCAGGTCACTGCGGGCACCGAGGAGTCCCAGCACCCCTCACTGCGCCCTGGGCACACCAGCAGCGCCCTGCAGCTTACTCAAGCAGCGCTTCCTGTTTCCTCCCGCCTGTTCCGAAATCGTACTCGCCCGCTTCGTACCCCTGCCCCTGTGGCTGCTGGAGGACCTCCTCACACTTTTCAAGAGGGAAAGGCAGTTAATGAAGCCTACAGAGAGTGTTGCTGAGCAGAGTGGAACAGGAGTGAAACAGGAGTGAAAGCACATAAGAGGGAGTGCACGCTGTGCACGCTGGGGGACATCGTCAGGGAACAGGGGTAAAAAAACAAGGCTCACCCAGACAGGAAGGAAACAGCAGACAGAGAGGAAAGACACAAAGGGGAAACAGAGCAAACAAGCTTCATGAAAAAAGCACATTAAAAAGGCCATTGACAAAGAAAAAGATGAAAAGGAGGGTAAGAAAAACAACAAGCACTATGGGCACTTGATTAAAAAAAAAAATAAGTGAAATTTAATGCCAAAATATTATGTAAAACCACATGGTTATACCTTCAGTATCTCCTAGTAAAGAAGCAAACGAGGACTAGAAACTGGGGAAGGATGTATACAAATGAAAGTTGAGCATGTAGTATACAGTCCCACAGTATGCAAAAACCTCTCCCTTCTCTATCCCTCTGCACCTGGCTAGTGCCATTTTCCCTTTTGCTAACTTGTTTCTATTTTTCTACAGACTTCTTAGTTACACTTGATTGCTACACTTCCCTCCCCGCCTCTGAGTTTTCAGACATCTTGTAAACCAAAATACAAAAGTGCTGATAAAAGTTAAGGTAAATAAAACCTAATTATAGACAAAAAGTTTCCAACAAACAACAAAGTCATTAATTACTAGACTACCTGGAGAGGAGGGAATCTAAAACAGGTTATAAAGTTATTTTCTTAGTTTTACTTGCAAAATTTTTGTTTCAATTTTGTACTGAGTTTCCTCAATACTTTCTCTCAAATGTTAAACAAGTTCAGAAATTCTTCTGAGCAAAATAGCTTCGTAATGCTGAAAACACTTACTAGAAAGTGATATATTTTAATCAGATTAACTCCCATTACACATAGAAAGATGAAAAAAGTAGTGAAATTACTTTCCTCCTCATGTATGGTGTATTGTTTTGATTTCTGCATTTATCTTCACTCCTGTAGGACAATGAAACAAGGCTTGGAAGTTAACTTCTTTATGAAAAAAACATTTGAAAGAGTAGAATATGCACCACTTTAGTACTAAAATATTCACTGTGAAATAAAAGCTTTTCTGATTTCATGTTAAATAATTTGCACACACCAAATACAAAGAGGCAAAAGAGCATTGTCCTGTCCTCCATTTTCCATAGGTACTCAAAGAGGTATATAAGGTCTTAAGGGAAAAGAAAGACTAGGCAAGTGGCTATGCAAAAATAATGATCTACAAATACTTCAACCAACTATTAATCATATTCAATTCAATTTAGTACCCCTTTATTATGTTTGAGTTGAAGTAGAAGCTTCTGAAATATGCAGTTTTTGCAGAGTATCCAGAAAAACACCAGAGATAAAAACTCAACAGGCCTAGCCAAAGCTTCCAGTTATGCGGCTTCTCTCTATAAAGCAAAATGTATAGAAAGATCTGTACAGAAGCCCACAAATTCAACAGCAGTGTCAAAAAATTCATGTAAGTCAGCCTTGCACACACAAGAAAATACATGGTCCTGCACTTCTGCCAATAGGAAGGGTGAGGTCTGGCAACAGATAGACACTGGGAGTCACAGCCTCTGCACAGGGAGGTTAGCACAGTACTTCAGCTCTAAGCTCCAAAATCTGCAAGATCAGACTCACTCAGGTGTGAGGGGGGCCATGTGCTTTCCAAAAAAAGAAAAGCCTGGTAGGGGAAGGAAAAACTGGAGGAGCCTGGCACTCACTTGTATTTTGTTCCCTTAGTCAGTACAGGTGCAAAGCACTCAAGTAACTTGGCTCTCCAAAGTCCAGCAAGAACTATAGATAAAATATATCCACTGAGACTAAAATCTTGCAGAAAGGTTAAATATCTAGGAGTTTGGAAAAAGAGCAGAGCACTGAATCATCATATTCAACCACTGTCTGGCAGAATAGGAAGACTGCTAACACACAGCACCTTACAAGGTTCAAAATCTATACCTACAAAGATGCAGATAGCAGGCATTTCTCTTTATAAGCTCCATTTCCAATGTATTCTTTAAAATTTATCTTAGAAGAGATGGGGGATTAGATTCTTTGCATCCTTTATTAATTTTCAAGCGTGGAAATGGATCTGAAAGAAATATACACCACATAAATAAGGACAACTCATTAAGACAGCATGCTTGATCGTTCACCTTGAGAAAGAGTGAAAATTTTCCATTTTTTTTTTCATGCAAACTCAAATTACCTACAAGGTCTGACAATCCCCTTCCCTACTTTGTTTTTAAAAGGAAAAAAAGTGCATACTTCTACACTTGAAATTTCCCATGGTACATGGTAATTACTTCATAACAGTTTCCCCTCTTCTGTCCATCCCCACTGTGTTAGTGTGTTGGCACAATGGTAGGATAACAATCACTGTATTTCAAAAACCACTCAGAGGTTTGGGGTAGCTTTTAAAAATAAATAAAACTATTTAGTCAGATAGAGAATGTGGGTTTTTGGTGGATAATTTACAACACAAATTCATAAATATGATCACATTCCATTTCCTAAAAAACTATACAAGTAACACAACTTCCCTTGTAATGCATGGATTTCAGGCAATTACACAAAGCTCTGTTAGACAGCCTTTCACATACAAATTACACGAAATTACAGACACATATGCAGTAACACATCAGGGATAATACAATGCTTCTGACTACTTAATGGTCCAAAAATAACAAAAGTAATTCAAAAAAAGCTAGTTTTCAGTTTAATTGTTGGAGTGGAATGTACTGTGGGTGGTGGTTGCCTAGCAGCTGCTTTTGCTTTGCTGGCCTGACTTGCTCGGACTGCAGTTTCTAGACGTGTTTTTAATTCAGGAGCAGCTCCCATTACTGTCTTGAAAGCATGTGGGTAAAGTGGACCGATGTGCATTAGATTCTGAAGTGCAAATTCGTGAAGATCCTTAGATGCTGTAGATGCAGAAGCAAAGGCATTTTCATTCAGTAAATAGGAGATCAGAGTGGGAACGAGAAGGGCAAGCAACTGGACTCCTAAAAGTGAAAGAAAAAAAAAATCTAATAACCATATCAGAGAAGAAAACAAAAGAAAATTAGTTTTATCAGTTCCTAGACTGATAGGGTAATTTTGTTTTCAGAAATGAAAGTAAACAATGTAATTAAAAATGATCAAATAAAAAAACAGCTGAAATGTAGACAGTTTCCTGTCCTTTGGCCACTCAAATCCTACCAGGATTGTGTTTCAGATCTCTATTATTGTTCATCACAACTATTTTGTTCCTGACACTTCTTTAGAAATGCCTTTGCACCACGTGATCGCAGGTCATTGATAAGAGATCGTACGATGTAGAGTGCCTATCATATTAAAAGATTTCACTTTTCAGGCAGACAGAAACCTTATTCAGTTCAATCTGAATATATCAGTCTCCCCAGTGAGCATAACAGAACTGCAGTTAGTGTGCAAGCGTTCACGAAAACATTAAGGACAGTTATCTGCTATATTAGTCCATTCGGGAAGATTCCAAGCACACAGCTAGACTTGGGCTAGCATGACCTAAGGAGGTCAAAGAATGGTACAGGGATCAAAAGTGGTTCTCTTCAGAACAAAAAAGCAGCTGAACTTAGGCAGTTTTTGTATCTAGCAAGGATACAAGTATGCCTTTGAAATGTGTAATATGAATTGTAAATTTTAAGCTCAAAGAACTTAAACATTAGTGGTATCTCATTTATTAAAAATTTTGTAGGTTATCAGAGTATTAACAATATTCCCCAAAGGTTTTTATTAAGTTCATACTCATGGCGTGATTGTCTCCAGCCAGCACTAGCAAAAATCAGATGCTTTGTTTCCTCATTTGCTTCGGTTACTCTTTCATTTCACTTGTGTTTTAAACAACTGTGCCAGAAGCAGAATGGGGCTCAAGAAAACATACATTTAGCGTTTCATCAATGAAGAGAAATACCAACAGGCAGTATGGTGGGGAGGAAGGGGCAGGAAACAAACCTACACAAAACCAGCAGTAATATTTGTACAGGGAACTTTATCAAAAGTCAAATGTCTGCAGAGGAAGCCTTTAGAAAACATATTGTTTCAGTTAGAGAATAATTGCTTAAAGATAGACTATACTGTATTCTATCTACCAAAGCAAACAGGAGGCTCCATCTACCATCAAGATATTCTGACCAGTACAATTCAATTTCTTGGGCTTTTCAGATACACTTTGTTGAGCTGGTAGAAGCAACCTGATAAAAGTGATGAGTCTGCTAAAATAAATAAAAGTTAACAATGGCAAAAAAGTACTTTTAAATAGTGTGAACTACTCATTTACAAACAGAAGAAAACATCACCCACTACTGCCGTTCATGTTTAGAAATTTTTTTTCCTGTAATCACCAGAAATGCAAAGGCTACAGCATATCACAGTGTATGTGCTACACACATCCATGTATACAAAAGTTCTAGTATGAGAATTACAAAAGCATGTTACACAGACATGGTGACCATGCCATCAAGTTCCTAATTGCAAGATTCTAAGGTTCAATATTCTATTTTCACATCACACATTTCTCTAGACAAACTAAATACTTACTATTCTGCTCCTCACCGAGGGCAACCAATGTTTCAAGGACTTTAATTCCTTCCTGGACTGCTAAAAGCTCCAGATTGTTGTTTGGGCGGCTCCTTTCCACAGCTTTCAACTTCTCAACCATGATAGGGGCCAAGGAATGAATGTATGGAGTTGACAGGGCACGATTGGTGTGTTGGAACACAGAAAGCAGAAGCTGGTAACACTTGGCTTGAACCTAATCAAATAAAGATAAACACATTGCCCTGAAAGTTGTTAACTCAGCGAATTCTAATAAACTCTGTTATCTGTATATGAGATACATGTGATACTGAAAAAAAAAAAAAAAAGACCAAAGGAGAAGGAAACATACTGAATAAGAGGAAAACAGCAACACAGCCCATCTGCTAAAATAAGATTTAATAAATAATAATAAATAATATGAGGATAAAACATCGCACGTGCTTTCAAACTGCACTCAAGCCTGAACAGGATGAGTTACTGAGCACATGCTGAGCAGAAACATTCTAGAGTAAGTATTACTGAACACAATGTTCTGTGAGGAGATCCGTGGATGACCGGAAACACAGATGTATAAATACAAATATTGAATAAAAATGATAGATAATGAGAACTAATAGTAAGAAAATGTAAGTTAAGCAGCCCAGGTCACTGTTAATTCACTAGTATTTGGCTGCAAGTTTTCTATACGATTCAATTTTTAAGGCCTGAAGTAACAACAACATGTCTTCTAATACCATTTGTATGCTTTCTAACAGAGCTCCACAGAAGAACAGTTTCTCCTAATGCCTTACTCAGCATTGTCTTTGACCTGTTTCAACAAATTATTCCTTTCTCTCTCCATACCACTCCAAATAATTCCCTTCCCTTTCTGTTTACATTCTTTAAACTTTATTCCTTATTAGCCTTCAAAATAATGAGTAAAAGTCTCTTTTCTTACATGCATGCATAATTCAAATAAGAGTTTTACGACTGATAGCAGAATTTCATCCAAACTTCTTTATTCAGTCTATATAATATAAAACTTTTTGAGTATTCGGCATTTACAGAAGTCTACAAAAACTCCTGTGCGGTAAAACTAGGGCTTCTTCAAAGCACCTCAGGCACATTCTAATGTAAAACTTACCCATTAATGTTGAGAGACATGAGATGTAGGTCTCTCAACTGAGTTCCCTTGTTGTGGCAAAATGAAATTGAGATCACCAGCCTTCTGGTTATTACTATCCATGATCTCTAACCTTTCAGACTTTTACAGGTGGTAACAGTTCCACAAATACACCAGTATTTCTTATGAGGCAGCGGCATTTCTTTAGATGAGTTTTTTCCATAATCAGCTCAATGCTTTTAGTACAAACAGTATAATGCTTTCATTACTAACAGGTGTCTAATCACTGATCCCAGCAATGAGTGGTTTAGATTAAAAAAACTAGAACAAATACACAAGTATGACAGAGTGTATGTTCTGCACACCAGTGGACACAATCTGGCTTCTGCCAAAGCATTCTCTGTGAATTACAAAAAAAGTGGTAAGTTCCAGCTCACTGACAGCTTTCCAGCAGGGTGGTGGGCAAAGATGCGCTTCTCACACTGTTCAGGTGTTTATACAGAGCTGAGAGACAGTATGACATAAAAGTTTCTGCTTAATGCAAATGACATTTCCATTCACACACTAACATTTTAAGTAGCTCTCCACCCAAAGTCAGGCTTCAGAACGAACTGAATTTTATGTCCACGCTGGAAAACACCAGCCCTGCTGCAGAGAAAAATTACAAGTCTAAACAGGATTGTAAATGCCTTGCTGTGACCCTAAACACATCAGCATTTTTTGCGTGTTTTTCTTAGGAATCTGCAGCGCTCAGAAACACTGTTGTGGAAACACTATACTAGCTCCCACCTGCAGATTCATATACCCACTCAAACAAACTGATGCATACGTGGCTGGAACAGTTAAGCTTAACTACACAGTGCATTGGCATTCTTGAACAGTCAGCTTACAACTTCTTAGTTCCCTCTTTAGTAAGAAAATAATTTAGAAGATAATTCCTAAAGACAACCAAAGGGCAGAAGTGAAATCAGGAGAGAGATGATTCACAATCTTTAGATATTCTGATGGTGACCACAAAATTACATTTTTGCACTCAAACTGAGTTTTGTATGAAAATGTAAAATACACATAGCTTTTGAACAAAGAAATATAAAATTCATCAGAAATGTGGGCTGTAATTTTATCTACAGAAGTGGTTTAGTTTGTATTATAAAAGATCAGCATTAATGTGGAAATGTCACTACCCTCCTGTAACCAACCTTTTAATTTGCTAAAATTTCACATATCAAAGATCTTTTTCCTTTTAAAAAGCTGCAAGTCAAGAACCTGGCACAAGGCCATGAACACACACTATCTAGAAGCACTTAGTTTGGGTTGTTTTGCTCAGTATAGAGTTTCTGTAATGCACTGTTGAAAATTCTAGTTATTTTGACATGCAGTATTCAACTCTGAAGTAAAGGCATGAAAAAAGGATTCAGGAAACATAGTAAATATATCACAATTAGTTTTTCTCAACTATATGTAATTCACATTCCCATAACATGATCTTACCCAAGGATCACAGGAATTTAATGCACTTTTAAATCTGTTCATACATCCGTTTTGTAAAGACTGCACTCCAATTATTTCAGTGCTTGCTGACCAAAGGAAGAGAGCAATAGCTGTAAGTATGCTTACTTCATCAAGAACAGGCTTAGAGGCTTCTGAAAAACACAAACAAACACACAGTTAGCTTACTCCAGAAAGGGGTTAGAATTTATTTAGTAAAAACCAGTGAACACAGATCAACTCACATAGGAAATGTTCCTGAAATTATCTGCAACTCCATACAAATATGCATCTACTTATTACAGAATCACTTTATAATTTTTGACTGTAACTGACACAAAGCTGAGCAACTCTGTTCTAACAGTTGTTTGAATAAACTAAGTCAAACTTTCTGAAACTTAAGTATCAAGGAACAAACATCACCCACACTGTCTATGACCAAGTCATATTTTCTTTTTTCAATGTGTAAACAAGAGAGGAAAAACGTATTTTTTAGATCCTCCCACTAGCCCAGGTTGCTCAAAGCCTCATCTCCTCCTGGGATGGGGCATCCACAGCTTCCCTGGGCAATGTGTTCAGTAGGTCACCACCCTCACAGTAAAACAGTTCTTCCTAATATCTAATCTAAATCTACCCTCTTTCAGCTTAAAACCATCACCCTCTATCACTACACTCCCTGATACAGAGTGCCTCCCCATCTCTCCTGTAGCCCCCTTCAGGTACTGGAAGCCTGATGGCCCCTTAAGTAACTGAAAGGCTGCCGTAAGGTCTCACTGGAGCCTTCTCTTCTCCAGGCTGAACAACCCCAGCTCTCTCGGCCTGTCCTCATACGGGAGGTGCTCCAACCCTCTGATCACCTTCGTGGGCCCCCTCTGGACTCACTCCAATAGCTCCATGTCCTTCCTGTGCTGAGGACCCCAGCGCTGGATGCAGTACTGCAGGTGGGGTCTCACGAGAGCAGAGCAGAGCAGAGGGGGAGAATCACCTCCCTCGACCTGCTAGTTGTGCTTCTCTTCATGCAGCCCAGGATACGGCTGGCTTTCACGTTGAGCATCTCATCTACCAGCACCTCTGCATGCTCCTCTTCAGGGCTGCTCTCAGTCCATTCTCTGCCCACCTTGTATTTGTGCTTGGGGTTGCCCCGGCCCAGGTACAGGCCCTTGCACTTGGCCTTGTTGAACTTCATGAGGTTGGCATGGGCCCACCTCTCAAGCCTGTCCAGGTCCCTCTGGATGGCATCTAGATGACATCAGTTGCTTCTTATCCACCAACGCTGTAACCCCGTCATCGAAGGTCACCAAGTTTCTCAGGCATGATTTGCCCTTACTGAAGCCATGCTGGCTGTCACCAATCACCTCATTTTCCATGTACCTTAGCATAGTTTCCAGGAGGATCTGCTCCATGATCTTGCTAGCCAGAGAGGTGAGACTGACCGGCTGTAGTTTTCCAGGTCTTCCTTTTTTCCCCTTTCTAAACATGGGGGTTATGTTTCCCCTTTTCCAGTCAGTGGGAACTTCACCAGAGTGCCATGACTTCTCAAATATGATGGATAGTGGCTTAGCAACTTTGTCTGCCAGTTCCCTCAGGACCCACTGATGCATCTCATCAGGTCCCATGGACTTGTGCACCTTCAGGTTCCTTACACAATCACTGAAAGGATGATAGTTTGCCACTGTCATCCTTTTTTTCTCTTGCACAAGCTCTGTCTTTATGGATCTCATTCATAAATTTACATCAAGAGGAAAAAATTATATTTATATATAATTATTATATTACAAAGTACTGTTCTGCTGGTTTTTTTGGTTCTGCTCTCCCTTGAGAAGCACAAAGAAACAGCTGACATGTAGTCAGCAAAAAGAAAACCAGCATGACTGCCCTTTACAGATGTCAGCTAGTCACTTGAATGGCTTAGCCATTATGTGAAACCTTACTTCAAAAAACTACTCCAAGCATTTTAGGTGACAATTTAAAAAAAAAATTAAATTTTACTTTTGTTTAAATGTTATCATATTATGAGACTTGAAATCATATGCTGAGATTCTTGTGTGTGTGATGTGTCCCACTCCACAGAAGACTGGAAAGGAAAAGGAAAACATGCACTCCTGCAAGGAATGGAGAAAAATTTCTGAAGTCTGCAAAAATGCCTAAAGCCCATAATGTTTTTGTAAAGAGGGACTGAGAAATCTTATAGGAACAAAAGGCTAGAAGATAAGCATAGATGTGACAAATCAAATTAGAAGTTTGACTTTGTTAGCACAAATCTACTGATCCTTCCCCTTCAGACATTTTCAGGACGGTTTGCAATTACCTACTCACTCCTATCTCTCACATGAGTAACTCCATTCAAGCCTTTCTTCAGTCTCTATAAATGGCTCATTGGGGATGTAATAGAATGTTTTTTTGGCTGAACTACCATTATGCAAATGACAAATCTTTGTGTCTCTTTTGCTAACTACACAGCTAAGACTGTACATCTTTTTTGCTTCTCGAAGAGCAAGGCAAAGCACGATTACGAACCAAGAGAAGTAGTCTGTAGTTCTCTAAAGAGATGTTGTAGACATCCTGCTGGTGGGTAACTGAGTTTTTTTTTTGCAGGGGTAGCATTTTTTTCTCACCACAGAAAGCTTGTAACGGTATGGTGAATATCCTACTCCAGTGTGAACCTGGCCTTGCTGTCTTCACACTGCTCCACTTTACCACTCGCTGTTGTTAAGACTATATGAATTGTGTCAGCAAACACTTAAAAAATACACTGATCGCCATTGTTCTTGAGGTTTAATTCAAGGTGTCGAGTCCAGGCACAGTACTGAACAATTACAGTTTCAGTAAAGAGAACAGTTCCTCTACAAACACTGTTTTGGCAACTGAAATCTCCTTTCCTTTAAGCTAGCAGGTATTCTGTGGAAAGAGGAAAGGGACGGTGGAGAGGATAGTTTGCTCAGGCCTTGCCAGCATGTCTAGAGTTGCCAGTAGTCACAGAAATTGAGGCCTAGTCCAGGAAGCAAAGTGAATTCAGCTTGGAACTCCTTTAGATTTTACTTGTGAGACATTCAGCAGATGTCAGAAAGACTGACTGATATCAGAAGGTAGATTACCAAGTTCCAGAAACAAGTCACTAGCTGAAACTATTAAGACTGGTAAGGTCACCCTGAGGAAAATCTAAAGCATGAAATAATCATATCATATTAGGATTGAAAGTGGAAGAGGAAAGTCTGAACTAGTACAGAAAAATACCCTATGTAAAGGGCCTGTAAGGGTCGTGAGGAGCTGCAAAATGAGTTGCAAAAGGTGAAATTTCTAACAGAAGGTTATGATCAATATTGTCAAAGAAAACAGACAAACATGGACAAACCTGGAATGGGAACTCCTGAGATGTAACTGTATTTTCTTAAAGCAAATACTGTGCTTGTCTTCAACACAACCTACTAAGTAACTCTAGTTATCCTGTGTGCACTCAGGGCTTTCTCCCGTTTCAATTTCACAAACAATTCATCCCCATTTTTAATTCCCAAGTCTCAGACATGAAGCCTATTAAATTATAGGCAGATACAATACTTGCCTTTTTATTACAGCAAAATCCATCTCTCTTTAATTTTAACTTTCCTACACTGGGAAATCACTTACCAGGTTGAGAGTATTCCAAGATAGATGCCAGAGTGCTGCGGATAAGACTTGTCCATTGTTTCTGAGTTTCATCAGTCTTGACTGTTGGGAGAGTAACAATAGTTTTTATCCCTTGAAGGGCTGCACTGACTGGAGGTGGGACCTGATTATCTGCTGATTTTACTGCTGTTTCTTTCAATACTCTCGTAATCAGAAATAGGATAGTGGGTAAGATCGTCATACATCCTAAAAAAAAAAAAAAAAAAAAGACAAAATAGAATTTCTGAAGTTAATTCCAACAAGTGTTTTAGATAATCTCTTTAGCTTTCCCAATATGGATATATATGGATAGGAGACAAAAGAGACATCAAGATTCAATTCAGGTAACAAGTGATATGTGCCATTCAATATTTTATCACCAAATTCATTCATCAGTACTACTGAAGCGTATCATAACACAAGTCATACAAGCCAATACCTACAATGCTGCTGACAACTCAGGAATGATGATTCAGCTATTAAAGTTTTGCCCTACATGGCATGTGATAAATGGTATGTATCATACTGAACACATCCAGATTGTTAAATATCTTAAAACGGGATCTGCATATCGCTAGGGTTCTATAAAATAAAACAACAGCAATAAGAGGTCTGGAAACAGGTATCCAAAACAAGTTATGGCACTTCCCAATGAAGCTGGTGCATGGTACAAGCCCCAGAAACAAAGTCGGGTTTAGGCGTGTAATATCAATCTACAGCTCACTTCAGACAGTCAAATCACTTTCCATATCTTTTCTATGCCTCATTTTCCCACATCTGTGGAAACACAAATCCCACCATTTTCCTACTTCTGAGAATGCTGTGAGGATAAATACACAAAGTAGAATAATTACTGCTGGAGGTCATCTAGCCTAACCTCCTTTTTCAAAGCAGCAGTTCCTCTAGATCAGACTGCCCAGGAACATGTCCAGTTGAGATGCTCACGTTTCAAGGAAAGAGGAAGAAATATAAAAAACTCAGTCAATCACAGAAAGTGATAAATTCTCTTTGTTCGGTTTCCCTTACATCCAAAGGCTCAATTAACACAAATGTTTGTGCATTTACTATCCCCCACTCCCTACAGCTATCAGCTGGCTGTATCTTCTGGACAAGATAAAAAACCAGCTCTAGCAGTCTCCCTAGACTAATAGTTTCTGAGCTCTGTTCACTGGTCACTAGCCAAATGCTGGAAGTCATGCCTTCACTCAGGTTGCACTGCTACTCTTTGCCCCATTCGCCTGCCCCCTCTCCACCCCACCCCTACAAAAGGGAGGAAAAAAAACCAGGAATCAAATAAAAACAGTGCAGGACTCCAGATCAGCTCAAATCTCCTATTTTTTAAAGAACTGCAAGACACAATTTGTCTGTTTGAAGACAGCCCATGTTCTGAGCATGACTTTGTCCAAATATGTTCTTTGCCACTCATTAAGAGACCAAAGTCTAAAATGTGTTATCTACATCAGTGTGTGAAACCTCCCAGAGATCCACAAGGCAACTCTTCAGCAATTTGTTCTCTGAAAATCAAAACTCAAAGAGCACAGCTTCCCATGCAATTGTGTCCTTTACCCCTGAACTCCACTCAGTGCAATTACCCTCGTTTGCACACATCCTTTTGTTGCAGTCTCCGTGAGCAGAAGAAAGCTCCTTTTAGTTTACAGACACATTTGGGATGACTGACAGCCAACGGCTGCAAAAACAAGTGTACCACAGCTGAATTGTGCTGTTTGTTCCTCAGTAGGATTCTCTTTTCATCCAGCTGCTGCTTTTCATGAACTTCTCAGGAATTTAATTATCTCCAAGATGTCTATATTCTTTTACAATATGATGAAAATTGGCCAAAAGGTTTCAGAATCATGAAAAAAGGAAGGGAAAAAACCCCAATAAAATCACAGTGATATAGATCTCATTTCTTCAGCAAACTGCCAGCACACATGCAAATTTTAAATCAAGTAATTTCCTTCTCGTTGGTCACTAGAAAAGCTTGAAGTCTTAATCTGTTTTAGAACCTAAACATACTTTTCAATAGATGGCCCTTAAAGTATCCTGTAAAAATACATTTACAGTTTGCTTTTAGCATCATATGCTCACACCACTTCCCCTACAGTAACCACACACACACATTTTATTACAGTGCCTTACCTGCTGGTGAGCACAGAGAAGGCAGGTCAGACAGGATAGTAACTGTGGCAGCCACAAGACGAGCACTTTCCTCAGAGAGGTGGGATTTGGCAGCAGTGTGACTTGGAGAATCTGACACTTTTGAACTCAGATGGGGCATGTGCCGTACCAGGATAAACATGAGCAACTCCATGGCTGCAAAGACCAGAGATTTTCCAGGCACAAGACCACCACTCTCACCTCCCTCTCCTAAAACAAGAGGATTTTCTTTTTCCTCAATATCATCTTCATCTGAAAAATAGGAAAGAAATGTCAGAGGAGACAATTAAGATCCCACACCAAAGATGACATGAAACACTCTAAAGAAAGTTAAAAATCACGAAGAAACCATCACTTCAACAGTAAGATATGACAAAAATGGCTCATACCAAACTAAATATTTTATTTTGAATGGCTTAAAGGGGTTTAAAATGCTTTAGAATTACTGCAGTTGCAACAATACTTAGCAAAAATCTATCCAGAACCAGAAAAAATAGTAATACTTACACAAAATTAAAATGCAGTAATTACTTTGCTTCTTTTAAAACCAGTTGCAAAATTAACAGCAATGACTGCCAAATAAATAGGCGTGACAGTATTTTTTTAATTTAATGGCTATTAATTAAATGTTCCCCCCTGACAAAATCTTATTTCAGCCTAAATTGATTATGAAATAAGAGAACAGAAAAGCATTGTAGTATTCTACGTCTGAGTTCATGATTTCAGTGCATTCAGCTCAAGAAGTCTCTATTTCGAATAGCAGCTTGGCCAGCTGCAGTCTTTCCTTCTTCCATTAAACAGCAACAGAGATGCAGTAAATCAAAGCTGGCCTAAACTACTCCTATGGAGCTCCGATGAATTTAAATGATTGCTAGTGTTATCACATTCACTGATTTGAAAAAATGCAACTTACTAGGCTTACAATAAACAATTCCATTAATTCATATGAAGGAACAGAGCTTGCATTTTCAGCTGTGCTGGTTCTTCAAGTTTCAGAAAAATCCTCTCTCTGTTTTTATGTGGAAAACAGTCAAAAGCTAACAGTTGGGTTTTTTTCTCCACAGAATATAGCGCCAGACTAAGATAGTAGTTTTCTTTAGTAAGAAAATATTCTTTTGACTTGACTATACTTCTTTCAGGTAAAGGAAAACATGTCAGACCTAACCTAACCAGGTATCAATGAACTATTTGCCAGGTTGCCACTTGGAAGCTAATTTACCTGGCAAAGATGGAAACAGTACATCCAATGTGAGATTTTTTAAAAAGAAATGGTAAGGGATGATTGAATAGGGATATACTCTGTGAAAAGGAAGAGGTTACTAAAAGTACCTCAGAAAGTAGCTTTCAGACTGATGCTAATACCCTTATCAAGGATATTCTTACATAAAATAGAATTGAACTAACAGAATATGCTGATGAAAAGCCTAAGCAAAACATCAGAAGCTGAAATAACATACTAGAAGAAGTAGGAGTACAAGAAGAAAGAATGGATTTTACTAAAGCTCAAAAAAGGCCAAGCAGAGGAACAGGATTTAGGTACATCAACTCATCAGAGAATCTCGGAAAAAATTAAGTTGAAAGGGATCTCCATAAGTCATCCAAGTCCAATCTCCTGTTCAAAACAGGGCCAACTTGAAAGCTAGAGCAGGTTGCTCGGGGTTGCTCCAGTTTTGAATATATCCAAGCATGGAGATACCACAACATCCCTGGGCACCTGTTCTACTGCTTCACCACTCCCATGGTGAACACTTTTTTCCTTGTATCCCATCTGGATTTCCACTGCTGCAACTTGTGTCTGTTGCCTCTTGTCCTTCCACCATATGCCTTTCAGAAGAGTCTGGATTGGTCTTCCCTTTAAATACCTTTTACAAAGGGGGATTGCTATCCTATCCCATATTAACCCTCTCTTCTGCAGACTGGACAAACTCAGCTCTCTCAGCCTCTCCTCACATGTCACATACTCCCTAAGCAGCTTAGTGGACCTCCACTAGATTCCCTTCATTTTGTCAACATCTCTCTTATTCAGGATGAGGGGGAAGAGTGAAGATGACTAGACACTGCTCCAGATGCATCTTCACAAGCTCAAATTGGAAGGAAAATCATATCCATTAATCTACTAGTCATGCTTTTCTAATGCAGCCCAGTAGCAGAGTCTTCAGCGTTGCACAGGCACACCACAGATTCACATTTAACCCATTATCTGGCAAATCTGCTATCCAGCCTGTCAGCCCCCCAGCCTATACCAAAGCGCAGGGTTATTCTGGCCCAAATGCAGGGTTTTGCATTGGTCTTTACTGAACTTCAGCAAGTTCTCTCTCCTGCAGCTTGAGATTCCCCTGAAAGGCATCACTGTCATCCAGGGTATCCACCACTTGCACAATCTGGTACCATCCACAAATTTGCTGCTGTCCTGTCATCCAGGTGGTTCAAAACAACCTTTAACAGTAGCAGACCCAACAGTGAACTCTCAGTGAACACCGGTTGCAACCAGCTGCCAGTTAGACTTGAGTCACCAAACTCCATTCAAGCACAGCACTCCAGCCAGTTATTCTCCTACTTTTCAGTCCACATCTCTCCCATTTGACAATGACACTATGGGGTACTGGGTCAAAAGCCTTGCAAAAGTCAAGGTAAACAGTATCCACCACTCCCCCTTCATCTACAGCCAGTTATCTCACCACAGAAGGTGATTAGGCATTATTTGTCCTTGATAAATCTGTGCTCACTATTTCAAATTGCTTTCTTCTACTTCATGTACTCAGAAGTGGTTTCCAAGGGAATTTACTCCAAAATCTTTCAACACACACAGTAGGCTCACTTGCACGTAATATCCCTGCCTCACGTCTTATTGAAAGTTAAGACATAGTATCTACTTTTTGCCATTCATGGGAAAGCTTTCTTGAGCACCACAGCTTTTCAAAGATGACTGCAGCAGCCTTAGCATGTCATCAGCCAGCTCCCTCAGATACATCCCATCTGGTCCCAGCTTTTACCCAAGCGGTCCCAAACCTGATGCACGTCTTCTGTATGTAGCAATTCTCTCCCCTAAACTTGCCCACCAGACACAGAGACACAGGAGGACTAAGCAAAGAAGATAACAGTGCTTCTGTTTTTCCCCCAATGCATTTTGTCATTAGATCACCCAATCCATTCAGCAGCAGGTTCAAACTTCCCTGGTCTCTTTGCTGTCAATATATCTATAAAAGCCATTCTTGTCACACTTGACATTCATCACCAGTCTCCGCTCCATCCAAATCATGGCTTTCCTAATTCCACTCCTCCATACCTAAGCAGATGTCTTCAGTAGTCTTCCTGGGCAGTTTGCCCCCACTTCCACCATCCACGCGCTTCGTTGTCACACTTGAGCTCATCCAGAAGTTCCCACGCAGCCAGGTCAGCCTCCTGCCATGCCTGTCTGGCATCCTGCACTTTTAGATGAGCTATTTTTTGTCACTGAGGATGAACTCTCTCTCTTTCCTTTGCCCCTCTGGGAAGCTTACCACCAAGATCTCATCTGCAAGCTCCCTGCACAAGCCCAAGTGTGCCAAGGCAGGTCAAAGCTTCTGCTCTGCTACTTGCTTTCTTCATTTCCCTCAGGACCATGAACTCCACTATCTCATGGCTGCTAGAGCCACAGCTACCATTAACCTTCATAACCATTTCTTCTGCATTAGTGAGGAGCAGATCCACTCAGCACCTCCTTTATTTGGACTGTCCAGCATCTGGACTGAAAAAAACTGTGCCTGATATCCTTCTGAAAGTTTCAGATTGTTAGCATCCTGCAATGTTGCCCTTCCAGCACATGTGGATGGTAAAAGCCTCTCATGAGACTCCATTAGCTTCTTCCAGCTGGTTTAATATGGCTTCACCCACCTCCTCTTCTTGATCAGGCAGTCTGTGGCAAACAAGAGGAGAGTTCCTGACTGGTATCACCCTTCACTTCCTCTTACTGCTATCAGTTCTGACCTGTCAAAGAGGGACAGCCAGCCCAGATACCTATCCTGATAGCTTGTTCCTCTTCTCCTCTTGCCAGATCTCTCCAGTGTTCTCCAACTGGATGGCTGGAGATAAAGCCTTTTGTTGCTGGAAGTCACAACCTTGCAGCCTCCACCCTCATGGGAGTCCCATCCTCCAGGGACGTATTCCAGCCTAGCCTATGGCTGTCCCTCCTTCCATGACACATGAGGCTCGGGCTCCTGTACCTGCAGGATCTCTATGAAGAACACATCATTCTTCCATTTGCCTTTCCTGACACTTCACATGCATTTCCTTAGGCCTCTGATGTGTCAGAGGTGATCGTCTGTCACAGTCAGCAGACTGTGTCTTGCTGTATGTCACTGCCATCATTATGCTGACTTGAGCAGTCTCGTAGAGCCTTGAGCACCACTTCTGGGCTGCACGAGCACGCCTTTCCACGCCAACTGCCTTGCTCCTGTTTGCACATGCCATTCCCAGAGCTCCTAGTTGTTGACACGCCCTGAAGTGTCAGTGAAGTAAGAACCCAGATGCAAGTCTGCTCTACTTCCTGGCAAGGTCTCCTGGGAAGGCAATGTGTGACCCTGGTTCCAGCAGCAGTTCACTCACCTCATGAATGCTAGTTGTGTCAGGGATGCATTGCAAGAGCCTACATTGGGGGCTGAACCATTGAACTTCAAGAACAAAGGTAAATGAAGTGCTAAGAGTCAGTCAACAGAGAAACATCAATGAAATTGAGCAAGGTATTAGTAAGACATTAAGTGGTGTGTTGGGTATAATTTTCAGCACTCATATTCAAGCAAAATGAATAAAAACCATGACATGAAAAGAATAATTGCTAAAATGATCAGAGGAAGAAACACCACATCTTACAAGAGCTAAGAAATCAGCAGGTGAGATTATGAATACATCAAAAGTATCTGTGGAGTACGCAGCATTTTTCTCCTCACTTTAACCATAATCTAATGTATTTGAGTTCCTTTCCCAATACAAAAAGCTGTTGCTTATTTACTCTGCAAAGCAAGTCATGTTTTCAAAATCTTACTTAGGGTGTTCCTTTTTTCCTGCAAATAATCTTGAGCTGCTCTTACTATCTGCTGGACAACTCCTGTAACCAGTAGCTGGACTGAAGGAGGATCCCAGGTCAGGAGGAGTCGGTGAAGCACACTCAAGAGTTCAACACCAAGGAGCTACAGTAAAACAAAAGACATACTAAAAAAATCAATTAGGACTTAACAATTCCTAATTGTTATGTCACTTGCTTATGATGAGCAAATACTTTTCCCGTTAAAAAATAATTACAGCTTTTGTAATCACCACAGATGAAAGACCAAGACCTAGAAAACCGACTGCAATGACTTGCTCATACAGTACCTGATCCTCTGCAATATGGATCCTGGCACAAGGGGAATCCAATAAAGTATGAAGTGCTTGCAAACAAGATGTAACATGCTCAACAGGCTCTTCAGGTCTTGGGGAACACAGAAACTGTATACTAACACCTGAAAAGAGCAGTAATTAAAAAGAATGTTCACTTAATCATAAAATCAAATATTTTTAAAATTTCTCTGTAAGTATAGCAGTTCTTAACAGCTTCAGAAAGATACATGTTTTTCTCAATTCTTCTTCCTTTAAAGGTAAAGAGTTTATGTATTAGAAACAGAATTGTATTTGCTTTCTCTTCTGCATCATGTCTCCCCCAAAATTTGGCAGGAAAAATAAAAAATGGACAGCAAGCAACTTAAGATTACCGAATAGAAATCCACACTTTGTTATACAAACATCTGTAAAAGTCAATTTCTGAATCCCTCAATTGTAAATTGACTCTGATTTTATTGAACTCTCTTAAATGTAAGGATAAGCGAGATGAAGTTAAGCCTCAAAAATTATGCAATATTCCCACATATGGCACTTAATTCTGTTTTTAAATATCTGTGTATCTCAGCAAACTGTTGGCATTCCTTAGAATAAGTGATGACATCCCCCTCTTAAAGCTGTTAGATAACAACAAAGGGAAACAGTGAGCTCTACTCACACGTGAAAAATTGATGCAAAAGCTACTCCATGTGACTCGTCAAATATCAGTCTCTACTGAACTGTGTTTTTATGAGGGTGGTTATTTTAATTAACTTTACAGCTTCTATGTCTTTGAAGCATAACATTTTGTATCATCTGAACTATATTACAGCACAGAACAGTTTATACTAATTTTATTCAATCACATACATAAACTAATATACAGCTTGTCTATAAAAATCACAATAATCGTGACATATATTCTGGTAAAGCAATGAAGAACATAGGAGGCAGAGAGATACAGAGAGAAGGAGACAGAAATATTTTGAAACATTACTGTCCAGACACATGATGCATTTTAAACTTCCTAGATTTCAAGCAAAGTATCTTTTCTTACTCCTATACTATTTTGTACCATAATGTGCTGGTACTGAACTCTAAACTTGTAACTCTTACCCAAAATTAAATGCATTCGATCTTTGTTTATCTCTGGCAACGATTTAGTGCTAGGCGGTGTTCCAGGTGTCTGGTTTAACATGATGGATGTAGCACGTTTCTGTGAACTGGGCATTGCTGCGGCAGTCTCTTCTATCGACTCTGAAGCGTTAAATCCTGTACTGTTTAGCCAAAGTGCCACTGCATGCAGTATGGGAGCCCAGGAGTTTCGGTAATGCAGTCTAGCTGTATCAATTGTTTCTGGAGTGTAAAATGCTCCCCCTGTTAAATTAGCCAAGCAAAGGTAAATTCTGAAATTCTCTGCAAATAATAGACAAAAAGCACACTCTGAACATATTTGATCACGTACGTATTCAGATGTAATACTTGTTGGTGACAGTGCACCCCAATTCTCCTTGTGAAGGAGCAACATTAGTACCTCATAAGAAAGTGCAATGGCCTCGATAGAACAGTAAGCAGAGAGCAAGGCAAAGTCACCAGGTCTTGCAGCATTTTTCATGTAGAACACTCATTCTCCACTCAGTAAAATATTATGAGACAGTATCCTCTCTCTTCTCAAGGGCTACGTTCTTATAGTAAATAGCTTTTTGCATTTGATACCAAAGTATCAGAGGTGTAGAAGCATTTTTAATTCTACAAAGACATGGTTTTAATGATCTCTGTGATTCAGATAAAGAATATCTTCATTGCAGATTGAAGGAAACACACACATTCAAACTTCAAGCACATTCCTATTACACATAGGGAGAAATTTATCACTTGCATAAAAGTGTCCCTGCCAAATCATTTATAGAAAAATTTTAAAGTCTCAGCTAAGGATTTCTTTCTGTTTTTCACAACACCACAAAAGGAAATACCAGTGCTTACCATCTGGTGGAAGCTGGGTAGCAAACTCAGGTGGTAAGGTTAAAAGAGCATAATCTTTCAGGGCGGCTAACCAGAGACGGCTAAGTGCAGGCAGCTCAGGTTGTACCAGTGTTATCAAACTGTCTGGTGGCAGCTCATCTATAGTACCGAAATCATCCTCATCTTCCTCTGTGCTCTTTAAAACATGCTTTGGTTTGGTCTCTGCTTCTTTCTTAATTTTCATGGCAACAATATATACCTGGAAGAAAAACAGATAAAGTACATGCTGTGAGATCCTAAAAAGAAAAAAAAACAGCAAGCCTTCCTATGTGAAAGTAACAGATTCCATACACAGACCATTCACCAGAAAATGACTGAGGGGAAAAAAAAAAAAAAAAAAAAAAAGAGACTTGCAATACAATTATCTTCTATTTAAATATTTTTTATTTCTACAAGTACATAACACCTAGGGGCATAAATGGCCATTCCTAGAATAATCTGGATACACGCACTTTTCCTAAAAAGGTGTCAATTCCTTCTGCTCTACACAGACATATTGATTTAAATAACTGATTTCATTAAATCGATGCATCCTTATTGCAAAGATTTCTTTGGCCTACACTAAGATCTACTAGATAAATCAGAATCATTGTCACTTTCTGGGAGCAGATTAGGTATCATAAAGACATGAAAATGGCTTTAAATGTGTTACATGAATACAAGAATACTTATAAGTTTGTCTTTGATAGACGCTATTAGAGGATAAAATGATTTTCAAAAACTTTGATAAATACGGGAATAAGCAGAAGTATCAGAAAAATAAAGTAAAAATAAGAATTTTTAGAAAAGAAATAGAATAGAAGTGCTTTCACACAACACATGTTCTATACCAAAGCTGAAAATTACAGTGTGGGGTGATTAACATGCCAAAGGAAAGTATTAACATTTCAACTGTGAAATTTCAAAAGTAATTTCCAAGAAAATTTAATGAAAATACCCCAAACCTTAAAGTACTACACTAAAAAGAAACTAAAATACCATTTGTATAATTATATGTAGAGCTCCATAGCATGCAAGTAACATTTCAGGAAGCAAGGCAATATGAGTAGTACTAACTCTGTCTTTTGTAAATAGTTGAAGGTATCTGCTATTCCAGCCATTTCCCAAGATGATCTACATTAGGCATGTAATTTATTATGAACACTTTGACAAACTCCTAGTTAATTAACTGCAATATTTAATCAGAATATATTTTAAAGTTGTTTGTTTTTTTAAGTTTAAGAGCAATAAGATGGGAGAAAAATAAAAATCTGGTAAGAGTATGAGTGTATACTTTAATACAGAAAAAGTGCAGTAAAACAAAGAACAATCAAGCATCACTATAAATATGGATCGACAGAATGGCAGCAAAAGGAACAAAGAAAGACAGAGAGATGAAAACATCCCAGGAGTGGAACGGCAACAGGTAAGGAGCAGGGCAGATACAGGGCTCGCTGGCCGGACAGCCAGTGAGGTGTGAGGCTGCTACTTCACTCCAAAACCTTTTCAAACTTGTAAAGATTTAATGGTCAATGTTTACCTCAGCCCATGCTTTGAGAACTGCAAGTTTTTCCATAGTAGTCGCACTCTCTCGGTAAAGCTGGCTGGAAGATCCCTTTCCTGCTTGCACTTTATCCAGGGAAGAGACAAGAAGGTTGTGAACTCGGCGGAGGTCATTCAGGTCACTTACAACCCCACTTCCTATCCAAGCACTACATACCTAGACAACAAAGTTCAGAATAATTCTAAACTAGCAAAAGAAAAAAAAAAATCTATAAGAAAACAAAAAACCCCACCAAAAAAACCATTTTCAGTTCTCCTTCTGCTTAATATAAAAAATCTGAGGTTTTCCTTTTTTTCTCCCCACCCCTGATTAACAGAATTGCTAAGGTGAGTGGTTACAAAGGCTATATTTCCAAAGCACATTACAATGGAATTTTATAGATACAGGGAAAATACTTAAAATAGTTTTTTAATCCTCCATAAAGAGGTAATAACAATTCTGTATTCTGTTGCCAAGTGTCTGGTCAAATAATTCAAGTAATGGGTCACTGCATTCACTGTGAAGAACATATTGGACAACAATCAATAAAAGTCCATCTTTAGAAACCCACACCTCTCACATTATATATTAAGGCTCCATACCAATGAGAAGCTTTCAAGATAATTAATGTCAAGAAAACAGCATGAAACAAGTGACATAAAAATCTTTACACAACTGGGCTCTGATCTGGAACCAACAGTACCACATTCTGAACCATCAACACCAGACATGGTAGACAGACAGCTGGGTGTCTTTCCACTTTTCTTTTGAATTAAATGGACCCAAACAGGTACTTAAAATCCAAACATCATACAGATCAGCTGCTCCTTTCTAGTGCTATACAGTGACATTCATCCTCTGAAACATTCATGCCCAGACATAACGCCGGCAATAGAGGAATTCTGCCGCAGATGCTTTCCTACAAAAAGAAAAAGGGACAAATTCTTCCAGAAGAGCTGCTTTGATTTTGGTGGTGATTCTACAAGGACGAGGAACAGAAGCAAAAAAAGCCCATAGAAGTCAAGTGGTTCAGGTTTTACAAATTCATTTTTCATGGCATTTTTGTCCTATCTCCAAGTTTTTAGAGAGCCAGTTCCATGAAAGCCTTTGGGGAAGGGCCTGTCGTGATCTGGAATGATGGACTTATCTGAACTAAAGTAAACAGAAACACAAAAAGTGTCCTGAAGGTGCACAGGACAAGGCTGCTGAAAATCTGTCACAAATCCATAATTTATTCACAATAGGACTAATCCCAGATTCACTCCTGTTGCTGGGCAAGTCAACAGCTGTTTCTGTAATAACATAAAACTATAACAACATCAAACTCATTCCCTGCAGCTCATCTCTGTCCACGTAACTTCTACAGTGAGTCAAATATCCAAACGTAACCTCCAGCCATTTGATTCTGTAAGTGCACACATCCACTTTGAAACTGATTGAATAGCAAAGATTTTGACCAGTTACAAAGAATGTTCCACATTTTCACACAAACTGCCTCTTCATCTAGCTTTGAATGCACAGAACTTTCTATAAGGTGAGTACAGTCTTTCTTATGTATAAATACCAAATTATGCCATAGTTGATCCAACCTTACAAATTTTGCTAGAAATTAAAGACTATAAAACAACAACACAAAAATCACAATCCTGCTGGACTAAGATTTACTAAACAAGACTCACATACACAAAATTATCATATTAAAAATGATGTTTTCATAGCTAATTAAACTGCTGCTTTGAACTACAGTAGCAATTTGGCTGTGTAAACCACATACCGGACACTACTGCAGCTACGTTGCTGATAGCTGATTTAAACTACAGTAGCACAAGATCATACACAAGAAAAAACACACAGAAAAATCTTTCACTGAGAGGTTGTTACTATGACTGTTAGAAGCTCTGAATATTTTCATAAAATCTAAACCAGTTTATTATTTAAAGGTAAATTATCAGTAACCCAAATATTTGTTCAGACTGAAGGGCATCTCAAGAAATACTGGAAAATTGGTCTCATTAAGCAAAAGATTTTTTTCCTTTTTTTCCTTTCAGCAACAAATTGCAAAACCGGCTTGGAGACATAATTAATTTCAGAAAGACTAAATATTTTGTGATGTAGCTCCCAAAAGGGACTTTTGCACTTCTGAGGAACAAAATATATTACTAAGAGACTCAAAAGATGTTATAAAAACGTTACAGCTTTGGTTTAGAAAATATTCCAGCCATTTGCTGCTACTTCTCTTCTGCATCCTTCCTACAATAAGAAGGAAAATCAGTTTGGCTTATACTATCTGAACATTTTCCTCTGTACCTGGCAGGCCTTTGCAGTTATATCAGAAGGTGTATCTTGGGAAAAAGCTGGCCTCAGAGCAGCTCCAACCTGTCAAGAGGAAGAAAAATTTAAAAATCCAACTAAAACAACAGCGACACAACATTCTTCACCCCGCCTTGTTTGAGGCTCAAGCACATATACAGAACAAGCAAGACAAGATTGCCCATTTTGGCATTACTGTTACACCCCAAACTTATCTTTGTTGTCTAACAGACACTTGCAGTAGTATTCTTTAAACAACAACAAAGTCCTAAACTAGTTTTTTCCTGCTTGCCCACTGCCTTTTGTAAGCCTTGACTACCTTTGTCAAATATGTGGGATTATCTTCCTTCTGTTAATGAGTATCCTTTTACTCATGAAAGTATTAGAGGTGCCATTTACGCTAAGTCTCAAGAAGCCCATGACTTTTTGATGTCCAAAGGAATAATGATGTGAAATCAAATGTTTATAGTTGGATTTGCATCAAGTTCTCTAAAATGAACCATACTGACAAAAAAGCCTTGTAGGCAGTCATTATAAGACATTATTTTTCAAAAACAAAAGGAACCAAGTCAAAGAGACAGAAGCAATGGTTACAGCACTACAGAATAAAGAAGAAAAAGGCAGGAAGTGAAAAGGATGAAAATCTGCCCTTAAGAAGTACCTGCAAATATCTCGAAGACATAGTGAAGACAAAAGAGGTGAAAGCTAAGCTACACAACAAAATAAAACAATAATACCCCAAAACAAATCTTCAACTGCCCACCTCCCATTCCCATATTTTTGTAGCTTGCATTTAAACAGAAATATATTCATTAATTCCCAAGAAAATGGATTTATTAGATTCAATCTGGAACTGAACCAGTGTTATTTTCCAATTCCTAATTCTACAAATGAAATGCCACTCTTGCCAAAAAATAAATGTAACTTGTAACATTTGGCTTTCAAGAATCAATAGCTACTGAATTTTTTAATTTAATCAGATACTAAATTATAATAAATAGGAAGAGATACAAAAATAAATTTTGAAGAGGTAAATAAAAGTCTCTTCAGCACATTTTCACTCATAAAAACCTCTTCACAGGGCATTTGAAGTTACAAAATGTTCTCAAAGCTAATACTGGCATATTGGCATAAATATCCCATTTCCTGAACTTATAAAGGAGGTCTCACATTAGCCTGATACTGCTCCAGTATCACATGGCCTGGAAACTCTGGCTCAGGAACCGATGCAAACTTCTTGATAATGTCTTCAAGAGCTTGAAGACCCGCCATTCGTAACTGGTTGCTGTGATCAGTTGCAGCCATGAATGCCATTCGAATAAGGTCAGAGAGATGGAGTACTAAGAAGTCATCTTAGAACAAAACAGAAAGAACTATTTAGTAACTTAAAAGATAGCTAATATAACAGATATTTGTAATGTTTTCCTCATTGACATGTACAAATTTCACCTCTTCTTTTTCAAAGGTCCACATTTAGGGTATGGAAGAAGGCAGGAAACAATGTACCATTTTGCCTTTTTTTTTTTTTTCTTCTCCCTTAAAGCCCTTAAAGGGCTTTTATTCCTAAGACAACCTTAAAAATTAAGCACAAATTTGAAACGAAACGTATGATATACAGAAATTGCACTGAAGGGTATGTAAACGTGGCTGAGTAGTTTAGAAGACATTAGAACATTTAGTAAAGCTAATTTCAGTGACCCCCTCAAACCCACAAAAAAAAATAATCAAGTCAATTCCAGTTTGAGTCCTATGCTTACAGTGACCCCTGCTGATAAAGGAAAACCTCATCAAGTTTCAACACCTAAAACTGAGTACGCCTCTAGTTCTGTTCCCAAAAGCCACATCCAAGGCTGTAAATAAGCAACAGACAACATGCACAAAAGAACAATAAATAACTCAGTAACATTGCTGAAAAGATTATTCTTCTCTATTTTTATTCATATATTTATTTCCCTACTCTCAATTAGAAACTACCAGATGTTGCACAACTACTGTAAAAATGTATCTTTTAAAAACCTAATATACAGGGTGACTAACAAAAAACACAAAACAAAGCTCTACATATTTTCAAATCTCAAGGTAAAAAAATAAATATTTATTTCGTAACTGCAACTTTTCAGAGGCATGTCAGTGAAGAAAGACTGGAGATCACTTTAAAACTACAAAGTGATAAAGTCTGCACTTACTTTTCCAGACCATCACATTTGTTAGTAAAATTTAAATATTTTGGAAGCTGAAGCTGGGTGGGGTAGAAGTTTGCCGAGTTTTCCTTTTTACAATGATAGCAAACACATCAAGTTCACTTTAAGTAAATACAGAGATGTAAAATCTCAGGATTATTATAAACAATCCGCTGCAGGATCCTATAAGCAGCCGTTATTTCATGAGTTGCTCTATAATACAAGGCCATTTCAAAATAAACTTTCACAAAACTCTTTCCTTCTTAGTCTTCAAATAGTGATCTCAGCCTCAAATCACGTCAGAAACGAGATTCCCACAAAACCACAGTGCTGGAACCAGACTGCATCAAAGCAACAGAAGCAGTGTCCCGGTAAATCTCCGTACCGTAACGGACACCCTCAGCAACACAGACACCAAAATCCATCCATCTTGTGCATGCCAGGGTGCTCATGACAGTCACTCTACACACATCAGCTCCTCATGAGCACTACATGGGTGAAAGCAAAGAATCACTGTGCACCAGAACCAACACACTCACTCTACACACATCAGCTCCTCATGAGCGCTACATGGGTGAAAGCAAACAATCACTGTGCACCAGAACCAACACATATGGACAACTCAAGGACAGAAACCTCTCATTATCTGTTAGAAAAATGTTTCTTCACAAAACAACTATGTCATCTCTGACCTCTCAATTTTGATCCCCTATCTCATAACAGTCTCTTCAAAACACGAGCTTTAAAATGAATATTCATCACTCTCATGGATACCAAAAGAATGCATTTCATAAAGCAGCTGGGTCCTCCCTCCCACACCCCTCTCTCTGCAACCAAAGCCACAGCAATCATTACCCAGCCTTATCTTTTTTTTTTTTTTTGCTAGCATTCCTCATTCCTAAAATCATCTCTGAAGCCTAATTCATTGCTGTCATTATGTTAAACTCAGAAACTGTTCCCAGCTTACCCTTAGCTAGAAGTTTACCGCTTCTATTTCAGACTGGAGAAAAGGTTTGCAAATCTAAGGTGTTTTTTTCCAAGCAGATCAGCCTGTCAGAATTTATATCCTCCAGCAAACCTCATTCTTTCTGTTCATGGTACAGTAACTACAGTGGTTATACAACTACAGTTTTATTGACTTTTGCTGGTCATTTGCTTTGTTTTTAACCATTTGAATGAAAGGATAACTGCTCATGTTTTTTTTCTTGGTTGTATAATCTTAACCTGTAAAGGGGCGTCAAAAATTTAAAAACCAAACCAAACCAAAACATGGAAATTCCGTAATTACTTTTTGGGTTTTTAAGTCTGGCTGAACGAGCCAGTGCCAGATCGAAGTGTGCCTTGTTCGCATTCTCACACAGCATGATAACTCGGCACAGACAGTCTGCTGAAAACACACGAGTTGCCCAACGAGGTGCTACAGACGGCTTGGATTTATCCTCTTCACCCAAGGTGGTAAACATTGTATCGTCGTCCATCTCATCCTTCTTCTCCGATTCCTCATCCTTCCCTCCTCCCAAGGGAGCAGCAGTGCTCATGTCTACAACAGAGAACAATTAAAGAAAAGAAAATCCCACTGTTACAATCCCCAGAAGACAGCTAAGGGCATATTCAAGTCTTTCCTTACACTCAGATTCAAAACAGACTAATTCTTCTTTTTAAACAACATTTGAAAAATTTGGAAACGCATAGGAATATGTTTTTTAGAGGTAAAATGTTTTTCACCTCTTTTTAAACAACATTTGAAAAATTTGGAAATGCATAGGAATATGTCTTTTAGAGGTAAAATGTTTTTCACCTTTAATCTGGGCTATGTTACCCTTTGTTTGG